GCTTCCTTATATCCCTACTGTATTTTCTTCTAATGTCTCTGTGATATCTTCTGGGTATTTCCTCAACTCTAGTTTTCAATGTATGAATTCTCTCTTCAACTATGTATAATAATTGCATGAACTTACTCTTCTTTGTTATGAATCATTTCCTCATGTAATTTGTAGTTTCTATAAATTCATCTTCAATAAGGATTTGTCCTGAGTTATACAATGTTGCAAGGTTGACATCTTTATGCTTGTTTTATGCTTGCTTCTAAACAAGTGTATTAGAAGTTTCATCATTCCAGAAATCAATTTTAAATTAATTTACTTTACTTGAAATTTGTATAATGGCTTATACAAATTAACTGCAAGTGCAAATTCACTATGAATTAGTATCTGGGGCTTCTATTCATGCCCCCAAGAAAGGCAGTTAATGTACCTCATCTAGTACCTCTGGCTCTGGTAGCGTAGTGGTTACGAATCGGGCTGTGAACCTTAAGATCAGCAGTACAAAACTACCAGCTGTTCCACAGGAGAAAGATGAGGCTTTCTGCTCCCGTAAAGATTTACAGCCTGGGAAACCCTGTACAGGGTCACTATGAGTTGGAACTGACTCCACGGCACATAACAACAGCCACAACAGTACCTCTGGCAGAGACCTGGAATGGCACTTGACAGCACTTAAAAACAACAACAAAGTACCTCTGCAAAATAAACAAACACAACAAAACAAAACGCTTCCTATTGTCACCTCTGGGTCAGTCAGCTAAGAGAGTTTTCTGTTATTGTTCTTAGTCCCCAACTCAGGAAGATCTCATGCACAATGGAACTAAATGCTACTTGACCCTAAACCACTCCCATGGTCTGCTGTAGCCAGAACTGCTGTGATCCATAGAGTTTTTGCTGGCTAATTTTCAGAATAAGGAAAACCGTAGAATAATTGATGCTTCTGAGTTATGGTGTTGGAGGCAAATACTGAAATTGCCACGGGCTGCAAAAGAACCAACAAATCTGCGTTGGAAGACGTGCAGCCAGAGTGCTCCTTGGAAGCCAGGATGGCCAAACTTCATCTCTCATACTTCAGACATATTGTCAGAAGGGACCAGGCGCCGGAGAAGGATCTCATGTTTGGTAAGGTGGAGGGTCAGAGAAAAAGAGGAAAACCCCCAACAAGATGGACTGGCAAAATGGCAGCATCAATGGGCTAAATAAAGCATGGCAACAATTGTGAGGTTGGCCCAGGACAGGGCAGTGTTTCATTCTGTTGTGCATATAGGGTCATTATGACTTAGTACCGAATAGATGGCACCTAACAACAATTTTCAGAAATAAATTATCTTTCTTGCTTTTCTAGTTTCTCTTTCACTAAAAAGAAGCACCTTCCAGGGTTCTAGTTATATCAGAGTCAGAACGTCAGCTCCTATCTCTCAGGCCCAAACACTGCAACCTTGACATTATATGCTTTAGGGCTTGTAGATCAAACTCTCCAACTTTAAGTTTCTCTTATACTTAGGCATTTGAGGATACCATTTCTGCCTCTGGAAATCAATTAAGCGTTTAATATTTTTGTTGTAGTTATAGTTTATCATTCTAATGTGTGTTTCGTGAAGAGGAAAGTGTATACTAATTAGGTAGTCCAGCAATGTTACTAAAACCCAAGTTGTAAAATCACCTTAAGAAAAATGAGTATTAATTTTTTAAACTCAGACATAATGACATAAAAACTATACTCAAAGGTACTATTACTGGAACAGCAGATTTTTATGAGCAGTATGTTGTTGTTCTTAACTGACATCGAGTCAATTCTGAGTCACAGTGACCCTTTACAGGGTTTCCAAGGATTGGTTGGTTGGTTTGAACCAACCAACCTTGTGATTAGCAGTCTAGTACTTATCATCCTACAGCAAAACATCAGTACTCCTACGAGTAATATAGCTATGAGAAATAGGGGAGAAATGTAGTTTTAGTGAAGATATCAATCAGATTACTCATGACATTTTTTTTAATTGATCAATTTAAGCCATTTTGGGTCAGAATCATTCAAAAATAGTCTTTTGAACGTACTCTCTTCATAGTCTTAACTTTTACTTTTCCACTGATTTTATCATAACCCATCTTTTAGAACTTCTCAATCTTTGTCTCACTAAATATAATTACCATTAAGTTCTACATTATCCATTTTATACGTGGTATCTGAAAGCATAAATAAACCTTCATTGAATCCAAAGAATATTGTCGACACCAGTGGTTCTTAATTTGCTTCCAGGACTAGCAGTATCAGCATTACCTAGGAAGTGGTCAGAATGGAAATTCTCTCGTTCCAAATCTGGAGATGGGGCAGGGCAAGTTCTTCTTGTGTGCATTCTGATGTACACAAAAGTTTAACTAGACTACTGACTCCCAGACTGCTCTCCATAAGTCTTTTCAACAGGGCATCTCAATGAGTCCAGGACCAGGCTGGGGTCAGTAAGGTGCCTAGAGTACACACTTTGGAGGCACTCACTCTGGGCACTGTACAAGTAAAATAACACACTTCTGCAGGTGAGCATTTTCTAAATTTTACATCCTTGTCCCAGCTGTGCAGTTAGTAATTAAGTGACTTAATTTAAGTTCCACCCACTTTACTCATGGAGTCCTGGGGTGGCATTGTAAGAAGCACAGGACTGATAACTGAAAGGTTGGCAATTTAAACCCATGAGCTGCTCTTCAGAAACTCTATACCAGGTCACTATGAGTTGGCACTGACTCGATGACACATAACAGCAGCTTGACAACTTTACCTGCTCTTGGGGTGTTGCTGAAAGATAGGCAATGAACTGCTTAACCGTGAGGCCAGTGGTTCAAACCCACAAGCTGCTCCTCGGAAATCCTATACAGGGTCTCTATGAGTCAGAACTGACTCGACAGCCCTTGGTATACTGACAACAACACATGGTATACGATTTCTTACTCTAAGTGATAGGTAACAAAGACTGTTAAACATGAAAAATATTAACTATATCATCCTCAGAATCACTTGTGGAGCTTTATTGGATATGCGCTATTATTCCAAAATTAAACTTTAATACATTTGTGCTAATAACATGCTGAAGTATCAGTATGCATGGACTGGAATATCTGTGCTTTTCAAACTGTGATCTATGGAGCACTTTGGGTTCTCAAGAGAAACCTCAGGGCTGTTGTAGGTGTGGTTTCAACTCCTACACCAGCTTCAATCAAAGTCACTACAGAGATTTAAACCGAGTACACTCAAAAGACAAGATTCTACTGTTAGGGGATAAAAAAACAAAACAAAACAAAAAACCTAACCTTGCAATTATAGCATTGCTACTATATGAACTCCATTTTAGGACCTTCACTTTTAAACCAAAAAATCTCACCACACCAGAACTCTGCAAAGCATATAACAGATATATCATTAACAGCACAAGTAGAGATGATACTGTCCAGCCTGAAATATTACAATTTTCTCTAGCAGTGATATGAAAACTGACAGACCATGAAATATAAAGCAGTGGTCTTGAGTCTTCTGAAAACCTTCCTTTAAATACAACTTTAGAAAAAAGTCCAAATAAATAAAAACCAAAGTAAAACTAATCTCACTAAAAACTAAGGATCAGGCAGCTGTTTTCTCCTCAGTAGTCTGCTTGTGCTTACTCACCAAATATTAACCCAACATACTCAAACACAAAGCAGCTCTTAAAGAACTGACCAAGAAAATAATGGTGACAAGGTAGAGCCAAAAGGGTGAAATCATTGTATCTGGATTTAAAAGAGGTATCTTGGGTTTAAATGTCCACTCTATAAAAAGTTATCTCAAAAAAGTTTATATTCATTGAAAGAAAAAGAGAATGAAGTACATAAACTAAAATTTTCAAGTACACAAAAGAGTTCAGTAATCAGTTGTGTGGTTTTTTTTTTCTTCAAGAACTCATCAGTTGCCAGGATTGAGATAATCAAGAAAAAAATAAAGTTAGAGAAAAGCTGTTATCCCCAAAACACCATTATTATTTATAAAAACAAAAGGAGTGACTGACAAACTTCCTCTCTTGTACGGAATATTAACAGATAGTTTCCTCAAAGCAAAATGTTTGTCACAGCTGCCCATGTACTCATTCTTTGACTTCATAAACTTTACCCAACAATTAAACATTCTATAATGTTAGGTGATCTAACAGCAGGGACAATGCAATTATATGAAATATTTCTCAAGTCAGTCACATGCTGTAAATAATCTGATTTTCTTCAGTTATATTCCAACTCTTTATTCTCTGAACTCGATCACATTTCACATGTAACATTTTACTTAAGATACACAGACAGCATTTGTTCTAACCCAGAAAGAAAGTTCACTTCACTATCCATAATCTGAAATAGGAAACAATTTAAAAATAAAATATTTAGAGTGAGATACTTGAGTCTAAATTTCAAGTCTACTGAAAATGCAGTACTGAAGGTTGCAACCAAGTCAAAAGTAATAACTTTATGGACTCTGCACATCCTCAAAGACTGTAAAGTATACGATTAACCTAAGAAATTCTACTTGCAGCATTTGAAGGATCAAAAAAATCTATTAACAAAGATATTCAGAAGAGCTGATCCTTGATACAATTTCAGTTAAGAATAGAGAACAAAGATAGTGTCTTTGTCTTTTTTTTTTGCAGCCAACAGTATATCAAAGATTTCCTTTACAATTTTAACTATAAAAATGTTATACACTAGCTCTTATGAAATATATGCACAAACATATATTCCTGAGTATCTATCTTTACTTTAAAAAATATTAGAATCCAAAATACTCATTTCAAAGATATTACCTAAATCTTTGCACTTTCAAGATACCACTTTTTCTTTGTAACTAAAAGATAATGCAGAATAATCTTTCACACAAGTAAAACAAATAATAATTTAAAGATAAGCTTATGTTTAGGATATACTTCTTCAAGATACATGACAACACTAATTTATAACATATAATAAAACACAGTAATAAAATGCAAAAATAAAATTGCACTTACATCCATAGCTCTCTTAATAAAAGGTATCTGCGTGCCACTGTCCAGATCTTCATTTATAATAAGCCTTCTAGCCCACTGACCTGCCCTGACAACACCACTACCATGAATTAAAACCATCAGTTTCTGTGGATTTGTCAAAGCATCCTCACTCATAAAGATAAAACTCTTTGGTTCACTCTCAGTAGCATCTACCTGTAATTAAAAACAAAAAGTAAATAATAAAACAATGTTTTCTGATCAGGCACAGACATAACAGTGAACTATAAAGTGGTTATTACAGAATTGCAAGCATTAAAAATATCTTTCAGTATAAATTTAATATATTCATTATAAATTAATAATATATTCGGTTCTGGCAGTAACTTAAACATAAAAATCTGAAGAAGAACATTAGAAGTATATGTCTCCCTATTTAATATTGTACTAAGACTCTGTATAAGACTATATATAAGAACAACTAAATTTTAAGTGCTTCCTAAGGGTTACTGTGTTAAACAATTTAAAAACTGATCTCCTTTAATCGCATGACTACCACTAACACAGGTACAACTGCTATACCTATTTTATAGTTGAAGAAATTGAGGCTTAGCGAACTTAATACGTTGCCCATGACCATACATCTATTAAGTCTATAATTCTAACAGAGAAGTTTATTTTAACTATGTTACAAAATAGAAAAATGTAACTAGAAGACAGCTCCCTGGGGAAGCCATATATTTAGCATAAACACTACTGAACTTTTAAAAGTTGAGAGGGTGTTGTATTGAAATTTTAAAATCATCTACTCTTCTATGTAAATGGACTTTCAAATTTAATACAGAGGGTGAACACAAGTTTATTAACCATTAATTTCCAACGCATTATTCATATAGTCCGATAACCTTACTTTATGCACTAGTTTATTCAGGAGATGAAAAATATTTAACCAACTTGTTTGTCCTTTTTATGTAAATTTTCAATTGGATGACATAAGATTTATATGTGAAAGAATCAAAAGATGGTGAGGAAGAATAACTTGCCAGCCTTTTATGACATGTGGTAGTTGAGTGGTATTCAGTATCAGCAATGACCAGTTACTAGGAATGGAAGCCTCTATGTAGTAACCACTGAGCCAGAGCCAGAAGCTGAAGAGTTGTATACCCTAGTGCCCTGTTCCCTCTCCCCAAAACGAAAAAATCAACCCCACTGCCAAGGGGTAGATTCCAATTCATAGCGACCCTGCAGGGCAGAGTAGAACTGCAACATAGGGTTTCACAGACTATTAATCTTTACAAAAGTAGACAGCTTCACTTTATTCCATCAGAGCAGCTAATAGGTTTGAATTGCAGATCTTTAAATTAGCAGGCCAAAGCCTAACCCAAAGCACCAGCAGGGTTCCTCATCACCCATCACAATCCTCCCCCAAGCATTGTATTTCAATGGCTATTTATGTCAGTAACTGCATACATTCATGCAATTATCAAAATAGTAAATACTTGAAAACTCCAGATACCAAACAATGTCCTAGAGTGTAAATGTTCCCAGTTACTATGCCTGAAAGAGACAAGAAATAAAATGTCTCTATTTCTGAACTATCACATTGGTTTCAGTAATAGATACTAAGCCATTTGTGTAAAGCGAGAAAAAAAACGCAATAATTTCAATAAGAACAGGAAGGTCATAGAGATGGGGAAAAAATGTATCACTTTCTCTTCTGTGCATGCCCACTGTATTTAAAATTACAAACCCCTACCTAAGAACTCCTTATTCCTCTGCCTGCTTCATTTTTCTCTACAACAGATATCACCATCTAACATGTTGTATGTTTTACTTTATTTGTTTCTATATCTGTTTGTTCACCATCTGTTCCCTCCACTAGAATAGGTCCAGGAAAGACAGAAATTTTACTGTTTAGTATCTAGCTACCTCCTGAGTACAAAGAAAAGTGCCGGCAGGCATGTTGTAGGCACACACAGTGAATAAGTAAAGGTCTGAATCAAGTGTAGAAAAAGGAATCTTATCAAATATCACCAGTGACTTCTTTCAGATAACAGGAATTTAATTAAATAATGCATCCTTTTAATAGTTATACTACTTACCTGGTTCAGAAAGCTTATGCGGAAGAGTAAAGAAATACATAATAATAAAGCACTTTAAAAGAATCAAACAATGCTAAGAATTAAAGAAATAACTAAGTTTATGTAGAGAGGTATCAAACATAACAGTTACATCAGTTTCCATTGCATGAGATGCCCCAAGAAAGAAAATGATGATTACAAGGAATATGGATGAAGTGAAAGAAGACGAGAAACAGATAAAAGACAGAAGAAAATTTAACTTGAGAATAAAAATTTCTTTTATCTAAACATACGCTAACAGAAGTGTCACTCTGTTTAAAAGGCTAAAAAAAAAGGAAAAATTAAAAATCAAAGCTGCCAGGGTATAATAAAAAGAGGCCACGGAGGTTTGCTGTCATACAATTACTAAAAAGAACATCTAAATTTGCACAAGTGAAAGTGTCGCTGTATTACAGTTAATAAGACCTTAGTGAATCCTGCAATGTTTATTAAGGAAATGAAAAATCTTAAAAATTCATTATCTTAATGGGAAAATTTTTCTGACTATAGACTTTCCACTAGGTGCTGATCCCTGCTTTTTCTATTTCAATTCTGTTCTTGCTACCAAGAAACTGAGTCTGTTTTTTAAGCAATGGAATGTTGCCACATTGGATTCCAAAGTAATCACTTTTAAAAAATGAAATAGAGTACTATCTATGGAAGATAACAATGTGTTTTGTAACCTTATAAGACTGCTAAAGAGTGGCACTGTGGACTAATGCGCTGGAATGCAAGGTTGGTTTGAACCACAAGGTCAGCGGTTCAAGCTCACCAGCCACTCCTTGGAAACCCTATAAAAGGTCACTATTAGTCGGAATCAACTCCACAGCATGTAATAAAAACAACAACAAAGAGTCCTGGTATGTTGCTGTGGGTTAATGAACTGCAAGTTTGGTTTGAACCTCAAGGTTGGCAGTTAAAGCTCACCAGCCGCTCCACAGAAACTCTATACATGGTCGCTATGGGTCAGAACTGTCTAACAACAACAACAACGTTTACATGAGCTACAAATTAAGGTGGTGGTGGTTGTGTGCCATAGTCAGTTCCGACTCACAGCAACCCTGTATAGCATTTGCAAAGCTGTAAATCTTTACAGGAGTAGAAAGCCTCATTTTTCTCCAGTGCAACAGCTGGTAGATTTGAATTGCTGACCTTGCCATTTGCAGTCCAACTTGTAACCCACTATGCTATTAAGACTCCTTACAAATTAAGGCAACTATGAAAAAATGAAGTTGACTTTGAAAATCACAGGCCACCAGATTATTTAAAAATCTAGACAAAACAATAATAGCAATGAAAATTCAAATGATTTAAAGGGTAAGAGCAGTATTTGAGCTGATGCTAGTCATGGGCTAATTTTTGCCTCAATTTAACACAGAATTCTGGTCCTGTACTTCCAAACTAGAACTTACTTTGATAAAGTTGGTGCTAATTCTAAAAAGATAAAATATCTATTTGAACAAAATAATTTTTCTTCACTAACCTAATTAAGTTGGGAAATGGTTGCTTCAAGTCGATATATCTTCAAACAGTGGTAATTCATTGAACTGAGCTTTCACTAAGGAATGCACAGAAAGGTCACTCCGGTGCACAACCTCGCTATATTGATAAATCAGCATCAAATGCCAATTGGTCAGTGAAACTACACCAAACAAGGTAAATCACTTAACAATTCACTTGGGCATGTATAACAGATTGTGACATTTCATCTAACACTATGCAATACACTGAAGGAAAAATTGTAGTCAAGTTGCTAAACTAGTTAATTCACTGTATCCTACATACAACTGTGAGATACTACAACTGAGAATATTCCAGGTCTGTATAGGTGGTAGGAGCTCTGGTAGCGTAGCAGTTACGAAATGGGCTGCGAACCGCAAGGTTAGCTGTTCGAAACTATCAGCTGTTCCACGGGAGACAGATGAGGCTTTCTGCTCCCGTAAAGATTTACAGCCTCGGAAACCCTGTACAGGGTCACTACGAGTCGGAACCGACTCCACAGCACATAACTACCACTACCCTATAGGTGGTGTAGTCCTGGTGTGGCGCTGTGGGGTAATGCACTGGACATCAAGGTCAGTTTGAACAGCAAGGTGGCAGTTCAAATTCACTAACCGCTTCTCAGAAATCATGTACGGTATCATTATGAGCCAGAACCAACTCGATGGCACTAAACAAAAACAACGTATAGGTGATGGGGACTCCTGGTGTGGTACTGTAAGACAAGCATTGGACTACAAACCACAAGGTCAGCAGTTTAAACCCACCAGCTGCTCCTCTGAAACGCTATATAACATTGCTATGAGTCAGAACCAACTCTACAATACTTAACAAAAACAACACATACATAGTGGAGTGCTGGTGTGGCGCTGTAAGATACACACTTACCTGCTAAGCATAAAGTCAGTGATTCAAACCCACCAGTCATTCCTAGGACACTCTATACAGGATCACTATTAATCAAAACTGACTCCACAGCACTCAACAACATATAGATTTTGTTGTTCTGGTGTGGTGGGTTGGATAAGCACAAGACTAGAGGTTCAAACCTACAAGCCACTCTACAGAAACTCTATGCAGACTCGCTAGGAATCAGAACTGGCTCAACAGGATTTAGAAACAACAATGTGCCGCTGGAATGTGGAGTAACCTGTAGGGGAAAGGTTCTAGGGACCCCATGGATAACAAAACCCACAAATGCTGAAGTCCTTTATATAAAATGGCATTGCTATTCTTGCTGTTTTTGTTGTTGTTTCTGTTAGGTGCCATCAAGTCAATGCCAATAAATAGTGACTCTATGCACAGCGCAACGAAATACTGTCCAATCCTGCGCCATCCTTACAATTGTTGTTATGTTTGAACCCATTGCTGCCGCCACTGAGTTAATCTCTTTGGGGAGTCTTCCATTTTACAAAGCAAGGGACTGGTCCCTCCATATAACATATCAAAAGAATGAGAGACAAAGCCTTGCCATCCTGACTTCTAAGGAACATTCTGGCGGTTCTTCTGGAAGTCCATGGTGTTTTAAATATTTTCCTCCAACACCTAACTCAAATGCATCTATTCTTTTACAATCTTCCTTATTCATCGTCCAAC